CCCTATTTCTCTATTGATGCAGATATTAACTAACCAGGATGTTAATAATTTTCTACTTATGTATAACTCAAAGAACAGGTCTTTCGTTCAGTTATTTCAACCATTACGCATTCCTAATCGTATTGAATAATTGTCATTGAGCATAACAAAAAAATTCCTATAGCTTTAAATTTTAGAAAGGATGGGTAAATTAATAGTATGCATTAAAAATTTAATGCCTCAACAAATTGTTCTAGTGATATATAAAAATGTGTCTAAGCTATAAGCAAGAAATACAATGTTTGACGAAGGATTCAGCCATGGAGATCGTAATGAAAATAAAAGAGCCAAAACCGAAGAAGATTTGTTGGAAAAATTCTAAATACTGTTATTCCAGAATTAACTTTGTTATTTCACCCACTATTATTAGTATATTCAAAAATCATTCTTTTTGTGGTGAGAGGTTGTATTCAATTTAATTAAACTTTAATGGTCTCTGTTATTTTAAAGAACAATTGCTGATCTGACTTGCTCACTCCAGGTATTACGAAGATTAAATTAACACCAAAGTTAAACTAATTGATCAACCAGTTAAGAGTATCATAAGAGCAAATGACAATTTATTCCTTTCAGAACAATTCATAACAAGATCATTTACATTTTCTGACTCTCTCTCAAATAATCGAAATTGGGAGTCTTTTTGCAGCATCACGAATAATAACAATAGCAAAAGTGTTGACTAAAGTCATCCATCGTAATTAAATTTTTTCATAATTTTCTCCGCCGAAACTAATCTTAAACTTGCTGGCCTTAATCATCTATTAAGTCACAACTTAGCTCAATTATAACAGAACTGTCATTGCCTCTCAATTATTCTCATAAATACCACTGTCGTCTTTTGCCTAACGAAAGCATGATAATTCAGCTGGCCTTATTGGGCTTTAAACGCTACCTAATAGGTCTGAGAGCTGTACAAGTATTGCTATTATCATTGAAAATTTCGTATATCGTATCATTCGTCTAGATGAGAATTTAAAGTATTATTCTCTACTATTTCGTCATAAATTTTCAAAATTTTTATTAACATTTGTGTCACATATATATTTGCTCAATTTTAATGCTGATTAGTAATGAGTACTTGGTTAGATTCCATCGAAAAATAGAATATTCCTTTAAATTAAATTACTATATAAGTGCAATTGGAAGACCCCGTTTAGCAGATGTTATCAATTACAAGCAGGTAAAAACGACTACCACTCAGTAAAGCATGCCTTTTTAACCGCTAATGGGGAATAAAAGTTGAGTGACTTATCAGAAGGGGAGAGAAGGGGCGAGAGAGAGAGTAAGTGAGTGATCAGATCAGATCAGTAAGCTACGAATCTTTTTTAAAACCAATTAGAAGAACAAAGAAGGCACAAACTTCTTTTGCGCTAATGCTACTTTAGGAAGATATGGACAAATGAACATAAATTAAATAAATGCATTCAATGTTTTTTATTTTTTAGCCCCAAGTGAGCATTTTATTTTGAATTTGTGTCTGTAATATTCAAAGTCAAACTGTCAATACCCAGCGATACCCATTTGATAGTGGGTATAGCCAACTGGGAACTCTAATTCAGGTCCTGCATTTGATTGTATTTTAAATGTGTGGAGAGTTATACTTAAGCCCAACACCCAATTAGCTTTGGAATTGCTACAACTAGTTATAATAAACTCCAAACTATAAATACTTGTTTGTATTCTATGGCTTTTACTACCGATCGGTAAACCTTTTCAAATCGATTTTTACCATAAGCTCTTATAGCTAGCTTTCCCTGAACTTGGATCTTTAATCGGAAACACATTTACTTTATTTATACCTATGTATTTATTCCTATGCATTGTCACCGCCTCCACCTTCCTATGATGTTCTGCCATTCTGTGTTTGAAATATCTCTTGTTCTTACTCTAAAAGGTGAAAATTCAGTGATTTCATTGACAACAATCACTGATATATGAGGTGTCAATGGGTAGGGAATTAGGTAAGCCTACAAAGTACTTTTCAACTTGAAAATTTTAGGAATATTGTCTCTTCCTTAAAAGTGCAAAGCATATTAGTTCAGGTTTCTTTGTCAACAATTAGGATTAAGTCAGTTGACAAATAAGCACTGAACGTGATAGACAAGCAATCCAGAACACGGGTCATGAAATTTTAATTTTCAATTGTTTTTTTAAAAACTGTTAAATGGGAAGAAACAAATCAAGTAAACTAGCATTCTTACCTTTAATCTGCTCTTTGCAACTCTCTGTCCGCATTTCTTTATCTTCCAACGGACTTTCGCTTTCGCCCCACAGATAACCAAGGTATCTTTCTGTTATTGCTATGAGTCATAACGAGAAGGAGAAAATTTTAAATTCCAATTTGTTTCGGTGATTTGTGGATTTCTTGAAGGCTTGATCCTTACTATGGTTGGGTGTAAGAGGAACTACATATGGACAAGGGATATTTATTCATGGGAACATCTGGAAGTGTAAATGAAACATTTGTAAGGCGAAATTTTGCAGTTTGAAATTTTCTGAAGTAAAATAGAACCCATTCCCTATTTTGAACTTTGATATTTTCAGGCACAATATATCGACTTCAATGTTTTTTTCGGCTAAACTAAACACCATCTGACATAATGGTTTGTTGCAAGTCCTTCGTAATTTTTTAAAATATCTTAAATGCCCAGTAACTAAGTCATTCGATTCATAGGTATTTAATTGAAAATATTTTTTAAATCATCCAAATCAAATTTTTGAAAAGTTCTGCATTTAATGAACCTGAATGGAGTCAAATCGAAAATCAATTAAAAAGTGAAATGGTTAACTTTTTAAACAACAGAACAATAAGCCTTATTTATTGACTGAACCGGTAAACTGGAACTTTTAGCTATTCCATCCCCAAGTCTTTAACACAATCGTTATTCACCTTCCATAAGTGGATGATTTTTCATAATTGAAGAGTTAACCTGTTGTTTTAGCTTTGATAGAGATAAAAAAAATGAAGATTTGCCAAATATTTAAAGGGGAACCCAATGTAAAGATATTTATTGGTTTAAAAACGCCGATTAAAAAGCCAAACATTCTTTTCGGCAAGAAAGAGTGGGAGATGTATCTCACTTTTGATGTCATCTTCTAAGACTTTTAAATCAAAAAACATTAAATAGTGAAGTTAGGAGTAAGGAATTCACATTTCTCTATATTAATTGAAGTGTTTTTAGGATTTGCACTAAAATACTTAGCACATTTTTGCAAAATTGTCACTTTTTTCCCAATTTCCTAGCCACGAATCGATTAATTATCATATGCCTAAAAGAGTTTTCATTCGCATCTTTCCACTGCAGCTTTCACCTTTAAATAACCTTTTTGACTTCAAGAGATAAACATCAAATTTGAACTCAGTAAATTACCTCATTGCATATCTATGCAGTAGTTTAAAACTGTCCTCATTGAAAGAACCCAACATGAGGACAGAAAAAAAACCAAGGTGATATTTAGGGTGAAATTAAGCATATCGCTTGTTCGCGTTTTAAATGCTTTAAGTGTGTAACTTGGCTACATCGATCGCCTTAGTGTCTTAAAATTGCTATGTAAAATGGAAAAATAGTTGGATTTTGACATGCATGAGCACAAATTTACAAAAAATAAGCAGTATACAGCTTTAAAATAAATATATCTTAATTGAATACCGCAAGATCGTCCATCCACATTCAAAAATTATCCCATTCTTCCACCTTTTGCCAGCGAATAAGTCTAATAATGGGTGGTCGAATAAAAGGAGCGAAGCAGGGTCTAACGGATTTATTAAGTTGATAAAAAAGCAACACTCAGTACATAGGAGGGTTCGATAGCTCACAGAGTGTTGAGTCTTTTATTTCAAATATTGGAAGAAAATTAGTACGCAATAATTCAATTAAATAAATTGGACAATAAATCTGGACTCTGTGAATCTGAATTTGCTGAAGGTTAGTCGGGGGGGGGGAGGGGTGGGAATAAATTCAGGGATTTGAAGATTAGATCATGGATATATGGCCTGTCTCAATGCGATAAAATGCCTGCAAAATTTTAACACGGAATTTTGCTTTCGCGTCTGATCGATCCCATTTCCTTAATCTTTATTCGACTGTGTTTATGACCTTTTGGTTCCTCAATTCGATTAACTGAACGGATTAGGTCATCCATTAGAAAAATGTCAGCTCTCCATTGTGATGTCTCTAAACTTAACCAGTTCGACTTCTAACATAATTTTACTGAAGAGATATTATTAATTTCAAATTTGCTACGTTTTGATATTTATCATTAACCCTTTAGCTGACTTCAGGCTTCACAGGGGGAAGGAACATCAAAGTAATAGGAAGTCGAAGGGTGGGGAACAGAAGAGTGATTTACAGATGTGAAATAGACAGACACAAAGGCAGAGAAAAGGCAGGATGAGTACTGTGAAGTGGTAGAATATGCCATACGGTGGGGTGATATAGTGTGCGGTAAATTTAAAGCGTTAAACGCCGATCAGTATTAAGATTGTCTTTGAGAACTCAAAAGACCTTGAGAACAAAGATTTCTTACTAAAATTCATGATAAGGAGCAGTATGAATTTTTGGAATTGAATCCATCTACCAACTTCTGACCCGAAGTTGGGAAGAATCTCCACTTTTGTAATTAAATTCCAAATAAAATTCTCTCATAGGTAGTCAAATCATAATTTTACTACTATCTTTAAATAATGAAGTAAATAATTTGAAAATTTTATTCACATTTTGTATTCATTTTAAAGGATAAGCACGTGAATCATGCAAAAGTGCTCCTTAAGATACCACCTGCTCCCCCCCCATATCCTTACATTCCCAACTCACGAAAATCTCAACCAATTTGCAATTGGTTAATAGCGTGACATCCCTCCATATTGGCTGGTGAGAATCTATAAATTTCAGGAAATCGTTTACATTGAGGAGTCTTTTACCTACTAATTTCTCATCCAAGAAATCGTCTCACCTCCAATTATGCCAATCTCAAGTCGCCAATTCCTTGTTTTACTGTTTATAGGTGTCACCGTATCACTAGCCTCTCTCTCTCCTGAGAGTGTAAAGGAGCATTTGGAAGAAAGGATGCTCGAAGAAGACGAGGATTTTGATGGACCTGGTGAATTCATTGGAGAACTCGGTGTCAGCGCTCCCTATGTCAAAAGAAATGCAAACTTCTGGAAGAGGGCTAGATTCTGGAAACGCGCAAATCCGAAATTTTGGAAACGTGGTGGCTCAAGATTCTGGTAATGGTAATCTCGAGGAAATAAGGTTGAGGAGAAATGAACTACCTTTAAATTATTGCAAAATGAACTCGCTTTTTTGAGATAGAAGTTATTAATAAATATGCTTACTTGAGTTTACTCTCCTTTTTATTATTTTAAAATAAATTTACTGTATTTAATCATGGTCAGTTTGGTTTTAAATTTCAGTGAAAATCTATGAATATTATTGATATTCTCTCTCTCACCCTCTCTCTCTCTCTTGATTTTAGAATTAGAAAATTCAATGAGGTGAAGGTAATATGATGTTCCATTTGTGCTCATATTGAGTCGGATAGTGTTCTCAGACCATATTGATTCAAATATTTGAATCAAAATTTAATTATCATATTCCAGTTACAAAAATACTGTTTGAGTAAACTTATAGTAATTGGAAGTCTTTGGTTAAATCAACTTATGGCAACCGAAAATAACACAAGTAATTATAAGCCTACACTGGTTGATTTTAACATTAAAAATTGCAACTCGTGTGTTAAAAATTTAAGAAATGTAACAAGCCTTTTGGACATAATTTAATTTAAAATATATTGGCAAGTATCCATTTTAAGAGTGCAATTTTGATTGAAAAGGCTTCAAAGAAATTTTATACCAATAGACCTTCGTTGATTTCTGGTGAATTCAATACCGTCCAAAATGTTAAAATTTTCAATTGGAATTACATATAGACGTATTTTTCAATTAAAATCTTAATTTAAATAAGTATTCTCTTTTGAAACAACTTGAAATATGCTGCTTTTGCCAAAAATGTTTCCAGAAGTCCTTTCGGGGGAGAGAGATAGAGGATCTTAACATATCGATGACTTGGACAAATTACTCAAATGCTCTTAATAAACCTGGTATACAAAAATTTCTGAATTATAGTAAATACTTAAAAAATTCGAGTGAACTGAATGCTAAAGTGTGTATAATTAATAGAAGCGAAGTTGAATTGGCAAAATATCTTCAAATATTTACCAATTTCGTGACATTAACTAATAGTTTATTAATAAGGAGAGTTGAAATTGTATAAAATTCATCATATGAAAACTCCCTTTTTCCCGTAATTCACAATCAATGAAGACTAAAGCCGATCTTCTTCAATAGGCATTAATTCATATCTTTTTTGACGCTTTAATGAAGAATATGAATCAATGTTTTGTGTGTTGGAAATTAATAGAAGCCTAATACTTCAAACAGTCATTCGCTTTTTCACTTATCAACGCAAGACACCAATTTATTTAGAAAAAACATTCTCTGGCATTCATCTTGACCTAAAGAGTGGTATAATGACTATTTTCTTTTAACTTACCCGAATTCTTTCAGTTGCATTTAAGGTCACTAAGTGCGCATTAACTGGCAGTTGACTTCTGACTTCAAACTACCATCACGCCACTGTATGTCATATTCGACTATTTCCACAGTACTTACCTCAACTTTCTTCTAACTTTGTGTCTGTCTCTTTTACATCTTTGAAACACCCTTCTGTTCCCACTCTCCCTCTCAACTTGTTTCACTTTGATGTTCCTTCTCCTCTGTGAAGTCCGAAGTAAACTAAAGGGCTAATGATAACTGTCATAACGCCTGCCATTTGATATAAATAAATTTTCAAAAGAATCTTAGTTCGTAGATGTGTACTGTAGCTACTATGATATCAATTAGGTAAAGACTCTAAGTTAAAGCATTTTTTAAAAAAACACTTATTACCCGAATTAGACACTTTTTGTGGTTTCAATTTTATCTCCATTCAAATTAAAAAATTATCTTTTTGTTGGGCGAAGTCAGTTCTGTCTTATCTATCTAAATATTAAATTTCATACTGATTCTAGCGTAACGAATTTAATTTCAAAATGCTTATATAAAATCGAAATTAAATGAAATAGCATGCGCCTTTAGTTAGCTGAAGTCGTATTTTATTCTTCAGGCATCCATTAATAGGAATTCAATCTAATCACTGACAATCTTCCACCAGTCGGTAATGGGAGAAGAGATTCCTTCATTTAGAAAAATTAAACAAATCGATATATATATATATATATATGTATGTGCGAGTAAATTATATTGAACTTGAAAGGTGTTGATAATTAACAGTGCCATGGCTGTCGATTAGAGTAAATTATGATCATGAACGCAACCACATATCTAATCATATAACCAGACATTTGGCATTTTTAGACATCGAAAATTTATTGTAACATTATGAGATATACTTGAGATACTTACTATCTTTGGCTTGAAAATAATAATAAGAAAAGTGGAAATAGAAGCAAATGTTTCCAGCCATTTTTGAGCAAATTCTCAATTCCGAGGACTAAAGGTAACCTACCCAGGTTCAAATAATGACGTCGTCTAGAGTTCGAAAATTGGCGATTAGATAAAATCTATAATTTTATTATTCGTTCAACTTAAGTTGACCCTTGACGATTTATGGCATATAAAAGATTTTATTGACTAATTTCAAGCATTTCAAAATGTCCACTATTCCCTTTAAAGTGTTAATAATATAATTACAGAGTTTTTCATTAATGGTGTGGTTCAAAATTTAGTATTTAGTTGCAAGGAAATAATTCCTTAATCCACCATTGGAAAGTGGCTTTGAAGTGAGAGGAAGGAACGTTCATCTAAATCTTTTCAGATCGCAATAGCAGAAGCCATTAGAGAAAATGCCAGAATTTGAGGGAGGGGAGGGGAGCTTCATGGTGCCACTCTCTACTCGAAATTCTTTTTACCAAGACCCTTCTTGAATAGTGCTGGGAATTATTTTAGATTGCATGCACACCAATGCTCATCTAACTCTACTGTGGAGTCGAGGCCGGTTGATTTGTGTTTGTCGTTGGGCAATCAATAGTTTGGATGGCCAACAGGTCTTTATCCCACTATTACCTAACTTTAAATATTGATAACTCTATCCTTAATAAAGTTGAGACGTTAAGTACGAAGAAATACTAACGCGTTCCGTTGAAAATACTGCTCATAAAAAAGCCTCTGACCCGTGGGTTACCCCAATGAGCAGCATTAAATGGAGTGAAGTTAAACTACGTCGGGCCGGGTTAGTACTTGCATGGGTGACCCAGTGTTGCTGACTTCTTTGGGGTGCGCGATAGACTTACCTCCACGTGGTGCACCATGGGCAACGTATTCTCATACGGCAAAAAAGTCTGTTAACTGGCAGTTGACTTCTCACTTCAAATTACCATCACGCCACTATATGTCATATTTGGCTACTTCCACAGTACTCACATCACCTTTTTTCTACCTTTGTGTCTGTCTCTTTTACATCTTTGAAACAATCTTCTATTCCTCCTCCCCACCCCTCTCCATTTTCCCCTTCGATGTTCCTCCATCTCTTTGTGAGGCCTGAAGTCAACTAAAGGGCTAATGATAACTATCAAAACGCCTGCCATTCGATATGCATAGATATATTTAGGCTTCAAGATTAGAATCCCCTGGTAAATTGACAACTACTAACTTATAAAATATTAACCAAAATCGATCTATTCAACTCGCTTATGTAAGACATGCAATTTCAGACGGCTTTTGTTCAGTAAGTCAGTTTTCAACCAATCGAGATTATGCTTGTTGTTGCAATTTATCAATTTATTTCTGATGTTGTGGAAGAAAT